ACAGTTCAAGAATATTGATTTTAGAAACGCCTTTATTTCAACATTCAAGAAAACAACGAACGTTAATATGTAAGCTTTGAGAATAGGAACCGCGATTACATTATTTCAAACTCCCGCGGAATTTTCCAAACTTCCTCCGAATCCATAAATTTCCTTTAGGTTTCGGTGCGTTTTTGTTCAATAGATCTTCGGCAATGATATTTATCACTCCGTTTCTCTCTTTAATTGTTCTTTAGAGGTTTGAAAAAGGCCTACTTTCTATGCAATCTATGGGCTCTTTAAAAACTGACCAGGAATGCCAGTTGACGTTAAACTTATTGAAAAAAAAACTTTAAATTAACAGCATTTGCGTTTACTTCATTGGATTTAGGAAAAACAGCTTTCCGCGATAAACGGTATCAAATATTCTCGTTAAGGTGGAGCCCTCTCCTTCTTCATTCATAAACGAACCTCGACGACAACCCCTGGCACCATCTCCTCGATTACCAAACCGAACTCACATCCCAGATCGACCATCACCAGAATTAGGTTAGACTCACTCTTACTCAGAAAAGCTCGGGAAACTTACGCAATACTTAGCAGGTGTTCGAGAAGATCCTAACGGAATTCTTGGTCATGATCTAAGAGATAAACGATGGTTTCATGGTGAATTAGATCGGGCTGCTGCTGAGTATCTGTTGCAAAAAGATGGAGATTTCTTGGTTAGGTTGGTTATATTCGCCTTCGTTATAACTCCTTATTCTTTTGAGCCATAGATATCCAATTGTCCTTGTTCATTTTAACTTATCTTGTAGAACAAGCGCCAACTCTCCGGGACAGTTCATCTTGGATGGAATGGAACAAGGAAGACATCGTCATATTCTTCTCATAAACGACGGCGCCGTCAGTTTATAAATTAATAGAAGGCATTTCAGAAATTCTAAAGCATGTTTCAGGTCCGTACCGCCACCACGACATTTCCCTCAGTGTCCGCATTGATTAATTACCATTACGGCAATGGAGTGCCTATCTCAACCCCAGAGTCTATTGTATATTTAAGAAATCCAATTTTAATGTAGAAAATTTACACAAAAATACTTAACAACTTATAGAATCTTAGGTAACGGTGCTCAAAGCAACACTCTGTACGCAGAACATATCTCTCTCTATTCATTTGATTGTATTCTTTTTTTTTTGATAGTTTGTAAATGTCATTAGTGTTAACAGAT